TCCCCTCCGCTCCACAGGGACTCACTGTCACACACACAGCAGCAACGCCACGGCCGCCATTGCTCCCACTCACTCCCCCGCGCAGCGAGTGGCCGCCACGAGGGGACCGTTCACCGGGGGAGGGGGGCGGTGGGTGGGTTGCAGTGTGGGGGGCAGTGTTGATGGAGGGAATGTTGGGGTGGGGGGCAGTGTTGGGGGGGCAGTGTGGGGAGGGGCAGTGTTGGGGCAGTGTGTGGGGGGCAGTGTGTGGGGGGGCAGTGTGGGGGGGCAGTGTGTGGGTGCAGTGTGGGGGGGCAGTGTTGGGGCAGTGTTGGGGCAGTGTGGGGGGGCAGTGTGGGGGTTGCAGTGTGGGGGGCAGTGTGGGGGGGCAGTGTTGATGGAGGGAATCTTGGGGTGGGGGCAGTGTTGGGGGGCAGTGTGGGGGGCAGTGTTGGGGCAGTGTGGGGGGGGTCAGTGTTGCGGGAGTGTCAGTGTTGGGGGGGTCAATGTTGGGGCAGTGTTGGAGGGAGGCAGTGTTGGGGGGTGGCAGTGTTGGTGCGGGGCAGTGTTGGGGGGGCAGTGTTGGGGGGCAGTGTTGGGTTGGCAGTTTTTTGGGGGCAGTGTTGGGGGGCAGTGTTGGGGGGGCAGTGTTGAGGGGGCAGTGTTGGGGGGCAGTGTTGGGTTGGCAGTTTTTTGGGGGGCAGTGTTGGGGGGGCAGTGTTGGAGGGGCAGTGTTGGGGGAGGGGAGCGGCTCCTCCTCACCTCCTGTGTCCTGTCATGTCACACAGTGAGCCGGACAGCGAGGGGCGGGGCCGGGCAGCGAGGGGCGGGGCCGGGCAGCGAGGGGCGGGGCCGGGCAGCGAGGGGCGGGGCCGGGCAGCGAGGGGCGGGGCCGGGCAGCGAGGGGCGGGGCCGGGCAGCGAGGGGCGGGGCCGGACAGCGAGGGGCGGGGCCGGGCAGCGAGGGGCGGGGGCGGGGCGGGGCGGGCAGCGAGGGGCGGGGCCGGGCAGCGAGGGGCGGGGCCGGGCAGGGAGCGAGAGAGAGGCCATTCCTTCCCGCCGCTGTGCCACCGCGAGGCTGTACCTGTTGTTCACTGTATAACAAATGCTCCGCCCATCCTGCCGGCGGGGGGCGGGGCTACTGCTTGATCATCGATCGTCCGTCCAATCACCGCCACATGTCGGGGACACAGTCGGGATCTCGGGGCCTTTTTCCCGCCTCTCCAGCTCGGGGGCGGCACGTGATCGGCTCCAACTGCCACTGAGCGCCGAGCGCAGCCTCGAGCGGGAGCCGTTGGGCAGCAGCAGCGTCACGTGGGTCTGAGTCCAGCCAATCGGGAGCGGGAGTTGGGGAGGAGCACGTGGTCTGAGCGCGGGCGGGAGCCGTTGGGGGGCGTCACGTGGTCTGAGCGCGGGCGGGAGCCGTTGGGGGCCGTCACGTGGTCTGAGCGCGGGCGGGAGCCGTTGGGGGCCGTCACTTGACCCTCTCACACACCATCAGCAGTTTCCTCACAGCAAAGCGGCTCTTTCCCCAGTGACCAGTGAGGAGCGGCTCCACACAGTTTAGTTGTCTTCCCACTGCTCCTGAAGCCAGGCTGGGCCAACTGTCGGCCCGCGGGCCTGATCCGGCCCGGAGAGAGATTCCCCTCCCCCACCCTCTCCTCCTCCAACCGCCCTCTGCCATCTCCCCACCTGCCCCCGGCTTCATGTCCCCCCACTCACTCACACCCCGTCTGCCCCACCCACCACCAACCGCCATTGTGTTTTGCCCCCTCCCCCCCCCCCGCCCGCTCTCTGTACCTCATTCCTGGAGTCCCTCCGCCTCGCTGCCTCCCTCCCGCCCCTCTTTCAAGGCCACGTCAAGACCCTGACTCTTGACTTGGGGTCTTGGCTGAGCGGAGGGAGGGCCTGAGGTCTGTGATTACCAACGGAGCCGTAATCCCCCCCCCACTCCGAGCTGTAACCCCCCCTCCCCTGAGCTGTAACCCCCTCCCCCCTGCGCTCTAACCCCCTCCCCCTGAGTTGCCATCAGTCTCCCCCCTTCTCCCTCACTGACCGCAGCTCAGGTCTGAAATGCTGTGACCGTCCAGTGCCTTGGGACGTCCTCCCGACGTGAAAGGCACTGTACACATGTAATGTTGTTGTTGTTGTTGACGTGGGGTGGTGTCCCGGAGCGCTTGACAGTGGTGGAGTCTGACCCCGAGGCAGGGGGAGAGGGAGGGGGAAGGAGACCGTAAGCCCCATCAAAAAGGATGGTCTTGAGGCCGGATTTGAGAGTGGGGAGGGAGGGGGAAAGGCACAGGGATTGAGGGGAGAGCTTCGGGGTGTAGTGACTGAAAGCTCCGATGGTGGAGCGGAGGGGGTGAGGGACAAACCGGAGGCCGGAGGCAGCCGAGCAGCGGCAGCGGGCGGTGGAGTGGGGGGTCAGCAGGTCAGATAGTTAGGGACATGTAGATGACAAAAGAAGATGGAGCCTTGGGGTACCCGCAGGTGCCCGGGTGTGGGCGGGAGGGAGAGACCCTTTGCCGAGATGTGGTGTTGGCAGTTAGTCAGTAGGACTGGAACCATGTGAGTGCGGTCCCACTGAGGAGGGTGAGGGAGGAGAGGCGGTGGAGGAGGATGGAGTGGTCGACTGTGTTGAACGTGGGGGAGAGGTCGAGGAGGTCGAGGAGGGAGTGGGAGCGCTGGTCACAGAGAGAGAGAGAGAGGACGCCATTTGTTAATTTGATGAGTGCTGTCTCTGTGCTGTCGGCCGTCACCGTGAAAACCAGACTGGAGGAGGGAGCGGAGGGGCTCGAGGGAGTGGAGGGGCTCGAGCGGGGAGTGGAGGGGCTCGAGCGGGGAGTGGAGGGGCTCGAGGAGGAAGTGGAGGGGGTCAAGAAGGGAGTGGAGGGGCTCGCGTAGAGAGTGGAGGGATCGAGGAAAGAGCAGAGAGGGTCGAGGAGAGAGTGGAGGGGCTCGAGAAGGGTGTGGATGGGCTCGAGTAGTAATTGGAGGGGCTCGAGGGGGGAGTGGCTCAAGGGGAGAGTGGAGGGGCTCACGGGGAGAGTGGAGGGGCTCAAGGGGAGAGTGGAGGGGCTCAAGGGGAGAGTGGAGGGGCTCAAGGGGAGAGTGGAGGGGCTCAAGGGGAGAGTGGAGGGGCTCAAGGGGAGAGTGGAGGTTCAAGGGGAGAGTGGAGGGGCTCAAGGGGAGAGTGGAGGGGCTCAAGGGGAGAGTGGAGGGGCTCAAGGGGAGAGTGGAGGGGCTCAAGGGGAGAGTGGAGGGGCTTGTTGGAGGGAGGGGTGTTACTCGCGTTCCAGGAAGGTCGGGTCGGGTCGAGGGTAGGTTTTTTTTAGGAGATGCTGCACTCACTCACTCACTCACTCACTGAGACACATTGACACAATCACAGTCATATTCACACTCACACACACAATCGCACACTTATACACTCACACACACCCTCTCACACACACTCACAGCCTCTCGCACACACTCACACCCTCTCACACACACTCACTCTCTCTCTCACACACACACACACACTCCCCCACGGGGAGGAACCACAGATCACAACCTGTTTCAGAGCCTTTACCCGGAGACCCATTACGAGCGGCTCCCGAGATCCTCCCATTGGCGGTGAGTGAGTCAGTGTGAGATCAGTCAGAGACTGAGTCAGTTTGAGCGCAGACAGAGACTGAGTCAGTGTGTGAGAGCAGAGCTGAGAGAGAGTGGTATTTGATCCGTGTCTTCTTCTCCAACCAACAGGACCATGAAGCTGTTCCTGACGGCTGTCGCTGCCCTCCTGCCCTTGTGCTTTGGGCTCCAAAGTAAGTGGCCGTCGGACTGTCACAATAATAGTGATATTAATAATAATAATCCTCGCGTTTGACGCGGCGCCTTCTCACGTCTCCCGAGACGTCGCAAAGCCCTTCGCAGGACAGCGCAGTGACCGTACGTACGTGTTGTGGGCAAACAGCCGCGGCTGAAGCCACCGGAATCTTTCGGTCAAAATCTATTTTGGTCGAAGGGATCATCACCGGAAAAGCGATCGACCATTTGATGAGCCGCAGGTTCCCACTGACTGCTGTTTGTGAGGGGGGGGTGGGGGTGGGGGCGGGTGGGGGTGGGTTGGGTTGTTAGGGGAGTAAGGAAACTGCCTAAGGTTTCCCCCTGTCCTGTCCCACTCGGGAATCGAACCCACATCCTCTGCCTTGTGAGGGGAGGGGTCTAACCCCTGAGCTACAGGGGCTGTGGGGTGTGGGGCGAGGGGTCTAACCCCTGAGCTACAGGGGCTGTGGGGTGTGAGGGGAGGGGTCTAACCCCTGAGCTACAGGGGCTGTGGGGTGCAAACCCCTCTCCTCCTACCCCCCCCACCACATACAAGTTGGAGACTCTGAGCTCACAGTCCAGGCTGATGCTCCATCGCAGGGCTGCGGGGAGCTGTGAGCTGTGTGTACGTGTGTACGCTGTGAGCTGTGTGTACGCTGTGCCCTGTGTGTACACTGTGCCCTGTGTGTACACTGTGAGCTGTGCCGTGTGTGTGCACTGTGAACTGTGCCCTGTGTGTACACTGTGAGCTATGCCCTGTGTGTGCACTGTGCCCTGTGTGTGCACTGTGCCCTGTGTGTGCACTGTGCCCTGTGTGTACACTGTGCCCTGTGTGTACACTGTGCCCTGTGTGTACGCTGTGTCCTGTGTGTACACTGTGAGCTGTGTGTACGCTGTGTCCTGTGTGTACACTGTGAGCTGTGTCCTGTGTGTACACTGTGAGCTGTGTGTACATTGGGAGCTGTGCCCTGTGTGTGCACTGTGAGCTGTGTGTACACTGTGCCCTGTGTGTACACTGTGAGCTGTGCCCTGTGTGTACACTGTGCCCTGTGTGTACACTGTGAGCTGTGTGTACACTGTGAGCTGTGTGGGCATTTGACAGTTGCGAGCGTGTGCTGTATGTGACAAGTGTGTGTGAAGCGTGTGAACAGTATGTACTCAGTGACCTGTTACACACGTACAACCAGTGTGTGTGTTTGTGTCTGACAGAGCCTCAGGTGTTGAGATTGTTACAATTGTGGGTGTCAGCGGACGGAGAACTTCCAGAGTACAGTCGTGCTACGATGTTGGACGATGTTGAGGTCTATCACTACGACAGCAACAGTGAGAGAATTGTCAGTCGGATTCCCGGTGTAGAGACGGCTGTTAGAGAACAGCGCATCTTTATACGTGTAGAGAGGGTGAAGGCAGATTATATGACGGTGAAGGAGAATATGTTGTATATGATGAAGAGGAGGAATATTACGAGCGGTGAGTGGTTTAATATTCCCTGTAAACATCCAGCGCCGTTCACTGTGTGTGCACACGTGTTTGTGTGTGTTCAGTACGTGTGTGAGGGAGTGTGTGTGAGTGTATCTTTGTTATTGTGTGAGTGTATCTGTGAGTGTGTGAGACAGTCGGTGATGGACAGACACACTCTGCGCTGATCACAATGGCTGTCAATGGCTATTTCAGGGGCTCACTATGGCCAGGTGGTATTTGGCTGTGAGGTGAGGGAGGACGGCACTACAGACGGACACATCACAGTCGCGTTCGATGGTGAAGATTTTCTCAGCTTTGACAAAAACGACCTGAGATGGATTTCTGCTGTTCCCGAGGCTCAGACCCTGAGACAGAAACTGGACAACGACAGAGACATGAATCAGTATTGGAAACAGGAACTGGAGAATGATTGTCTTAATCGGATGGAGGAATATTATCAGTATTCAAAACCCACCTTCCAGCGACAGAGTGAGTGTGTGTTGTTACTAATATGGCCTTATTATATGGTTAAGCCTCGCTGTGTCAGGGTGGGCTCAGTGCTGAGCTGTGTGTGACTGTGCTCCCCTCCCCAGGCCGCCCTGACGTCTCAGTCAGTTACAGGAGGGACGTGGGGGGGAGAGCCCTTCTCTCCTGTCTTGTTACTGGCTTCTATCCGCGGCCCATCGAGGTGACCTGGACAAGGGACGGCAACACTGTCCACGAGGTGGAGTCCAGCGGTGTATTACCCAACCACGACCACACCTTTCAGACAGTGAAGCAGATGGAGCTGGAGACGGGCTCCGCGGGGGAGCAGGGCTTCTCCTGTCTGGTGGAGCACAGCAGCCTCCAGGGGGTGTTGGAGGTGCCGTGGGGTAAGATCAACAACAACAACTCGGGTTTACACAGCAACCTCACACGGGGCAGCGTCTCGAGCACTTAACAGTGGTGGGGCTGACACAGGGGGAGGGGGAGGGGACCGTAAGCACAGTCAGAGAGGAAGGTCTTCAGGTGTGATGTGAAAATGGGGAAGGAGGGGGCAATGTGGAGGGATTGAGGGAAGGATTTGCAGAGTTTCAGACCGTAGTGGCTGTCAGCTCAGCCACTGATGGTGGAGCAGAAGGGACGAGGTACAAGCAGGAGGCCGGAGCCAACCGAGCGGAGGGGGCGGGTGGTGGAGTGAGGAGTAGGAAAGGTTGGGAAACTAAGGAGGTGCCGGGGACGTGTAGACAAGTGTGAGGATCTTGAAGTGGATGGTGTCTCTGATAGGGAGCCGGTGGCGCCTGGTGAGGGCCGGGGTGATGGGGGTGATGGGGGTGATGGGGTGAGGTGTGTCGAGCGGGTGGTTATACGGGCGGTGGAGTTCTGGATTAGTTGGGGTCTGTGGATAGTGAGGTTGGGGAGACCAGAGAGGAGGGCATTGGAATAGTCAAGGTGGGAGGTGACAAACACATGGACAAGGGTTTTGGTTGTGTTGGGTGTGAGGTAAGGTCGGAGGTGGGCAATGTGGAGGAGGTGGAGGAAAGTGGTCCTGGTCAGGGACCGGATGTGGGGGAGGAAGGACAGCTGAGGGTCGAAGCTGACGCTCAGGTTATGTACAGGTTCAGTAAGTCTTAGGCAAAGGACAGGGAGGTTGAGGAGGTCAGAGCCACAGGAGACACGATGGGAGCCAAGGAGTATGGCTTCTGTCTTGTTGATGTTCAGCTACAGGAAGTTTACGCTCAACCAGTCCTTGATGTCTGACAAACAAACTGACAGGACATCAGGGATCTGGAGTCACAGCTGGAGGAGGATTGGGTGTCAACCACATACATAGGTCATCCACACACATAAGGTCACAGCGGGAAACCGGGAATAACATGAGGTGTCAGTCTGTCTCCGGGAGAACTCTCTGTCTACTCTAAACAGCCGCCCATCGCCCCTTCTCATCCCGTTCTCCAATATTCTCTCATACTCCTCACCTCTCTCTCTTCCCGTCCTCCAATACTCTTCAGATCTCTCTCTCTCTCTCTCTCTCTCATTCTCTCTCGTTTGTCTCTTCTCATCGTCTGACCCTCTCCCTCTCTCAGACTCCGCTCCTCTCTCGCTCTCAGGACCTTAATGAAAGTTTGGTTGTTGTTCACTCCGAACAGATGGGAAAACAGGGAGAACTCCGGCCGGTTCCACTTCCTGGATCCTGGGCCTCATCATCGGGGCTTTGCTGGTGTCTGGGATTGTGGGGATTCTCTTCTGGAAAAGAAAACGAGAGCGAAAAGGTGAATAAATGGCACTGTCGCGGGAGCCGATCATCAGAGAGAATCATAGAATTATACAGCACAGAAGGAGGCCATTCAGCCCATCGTGTCTGTCTCTTTGAAAAGTGCGATACAAATCAACCCCACTCCCCCGCTCTCCCCCCATAGCCCTGATCAACCCCACTCCCCCGCTCTCCCCCCATAGCCCTGATCAACCCCACTCCCCCGCTCTCCCCCCATAGCCCTGATCAGCTCCCATCAGCCTTTCAGGCAATACATTCCAGATCCCAACAACTCGCGTCTGATAAAAATGTCTCCTCCCCTCCACTCTGTTTCTTTTAACAACTATTTTGAATGGGTGTCCTGGGGTTACCGTCCTACCCGCCAGTGGGAATAGTGTCTCCTTGTTCCCCCTATCGAATCCCCTCATCATTTTCAAAACTTCTGGAGTCTCCTCTGAACCTTCTCTGCTCCAAGGAGAACAATCCTCACGTCTGTGGCCTCTCCTGATAACTGAAGCCCTCATTCCTGGTGCCATCGCGGTCAATCTCCTTTGCACACTCTCCAATGCCTTGACATCCTTCCTACAGTGTGGGGCCCAGAACTGACCACAGTCTCTAACTAACCCTAACCCTACAGTGTGGGGCCCAGAACTGAACACAGTCTCTAACTAACTCTAACCCTACAGTGTGGGGCCCAGAACTGAACACAGTCTCTAACTAACCCTAACCCTACAGTGTGGGGCCCAGAACTGACCACAGTCTGTGGTTGAGGCCTAACCAGTGTTTTATAATTATAATTATCACATCATTGGTCCTGCGGTTCACTGAGCCCCACACCTGTCACTGTCTGTCTGTGTTACTGAGTGTTGTGTGTGAGAGTGTGAGACCGGCTGTTGTCTGTATGTGTGAGATTGGGTTTTATATATGTGTGTGTTGTCTCTGTGTGTGTAACTGACTGTTGTGTGTGTGTGTGTGTATGTGTGTGTGTTTGAGGGCTGAACGAGCATCACTGGGTCTGTGTGTAATTGACGTCTGTTTATTGACAGGACCCGGGACTCACCAGTACAACCGTCCATCCAGTAAGTGAATAACAGTGCGGCTGTACACCGGGTCAGACTACACTCTGCAAGTGGACGTGTGTGACGTGTTCTCTGCTCACCTCACTGTCAAACCCTACAATGTACAGCAATTTCTGTCTGACTGTAATGCACAGGCGTTTCCTGTCTGACTGTGACATACAGGCATTTTCCCTGTGACTGTCTGACTGTAACCTACAGACATTGACGGTCTGACTCTGACATCTGTTTCTGGTAACAGGTGAAGAAAGCGGCCAAGTCCCCGATGATCAACCGCAGGTAAGAGCCGGTCAGCGCCACACAACCTCTCGTGATCCCCAGTCACTAACCCACTGTGAGGATCAGGACTGGGCTGTGACAGGGCCACTGGGGGAGTGGGGGAGTGAGTGAGGGAGGGAGGGAGGGAGGGAGGGAGTGAGGGAGGGAGGGAGGGAGTGAGGGACTGGGCTGTGACAGGGCCACTGGGGGAGTGGAATCCCCCCCACCCCCCGCGCTCACCGGGGACGTCCTTCCTGAGACCGGGAAGTGATCCCAGTGAAGCTCACAGGGTATTGGCCATCCAGTGCCCACTGGCACCGGGGCCCTGGCACTGAGCGGGTTACCACTGGCCACTGGGGAAGCCACGTGGCCCACTCGGCTCCTGCTATCCTGCGGCCAAAGCCCTGAGGGGTCGGGCAGTCCTCGCTGGACAAGCAGCGGGAAGCTGCCAGACAGGGCTCTCAGGGGGTCACACACACTCACTCACACACTCACACACACTCACACTGAGACAGGGCTCTCAGGGGCTAAGCTGTGGGTTTAGTGGGTTAGACTCCAGCAGTTACCCCAACGCACACTCTGGGTCCCCCCCAAACCACACACACTCACACAACTCACTCACACACTCACACACACACTCTGGGTCCCCCCCAAACCACTCACACTCACACACACTCACTCACACACACACACACACACACACTCGGGGTCCCCAAGCCTTGGCTCTGGCCAACTCTCTCCAGGGTCATGTAACCACCATGTGTCCTGCACAGAGAGAGAGAGAGAGAGAGCACTCCATCCCAGACACGGGGAGAGATCCGTGTGGAGGTGACATACACACGTGTGACTCTCAGGCCTGGTTTGGGGACTGTTAAGCACAGTGATGGGTTTCCACGTTGGTCAGACACGCGGCTGATCACGGTGACGTGGGTCAGACACGCGGCTGATCACGGTGACGTGGGTCAGACACGCGGCTGATCACGGTGACGTGGGTCAGACACGCGGCTGATCACGGTGACGTGGGTCAGACACGCGGCTGATCACGGTGACGTGGGTCAGACACGCGGCTGATCACGGTGACGTGGGTGAGACACGCGGCTGATCACGGTGACGTGGGTCAGACACGCGGCTGATCACGGTGACGTGGGTCAGACACGCGGCTGATCGCGGTGATGTGGGTCAGACACGCGGCTGATCGCGGTGATGTGGGTCAGACACGCGGCTGATCGCGGTGACGTGGGTCAGACACGCGGCTGATCTCGGTGACGTGTGTCAGACACGCGGCTGATCACGGTGACGTGCGTCAGACACGCGGCTGATCACGGTGACGTGGGTCAGACACGCGGCTGATTGCGGTGACGTGGGTCAGACGCCGACGCCCGGCTGACCCAAAAACATACAGCGTCTTGTCACATTGGGAGGACGTCTCAAAGCGCTTCCCAGGATTTCCTGTAAAGTGTGAAAACTCCTCTTTGTCCAGTTATAATCCTGATCGTGTTGGAGGTTATCTTTCTGTTGCTGTTGATCTTCCTACGGAAGCGAATCCGCATCGCGATCGCCCTCATCGGGGAGGCCAGCAAGTAAGTGCTGGGGCGAGGGTGGTGGGGTAGCCTGGTCCGTTAGCTGGGTCAACCTCCCCTTGCCCCCCCCCCCCCACGCCCCCGCCCGACCCCCCCCATACCGTCATTATTCAGGTCCACAAACTCAAGAGACCACTTTACAACGGGGATACAATGTAAAAATGGCCACAGATGGGCACTTCCAGGTCTTTGGGAGATGTCACTTCTGTTGCTGGTCAGTGCTTTCACTGTCACTTCCTGTCCGGCTGTTCTCACGCCCGTTTCTGGGGCAAAGTCAGACGACGCGCCGTTGAGACAAACGTGGAGTTGCGAGCCATGAGGGGAGGTGAGGCGGACGGGGGAAATTGTCACGGGCAGTGGACAGGATGGGCGATTGGGCACTTTCCCCTGTGTTGTCTCCATAAACCTTCTCTCCCTTTCTTCCGACAGAGCGATTGCCCACATCATGTCTTCCCTGGCCTACCCACTGTGTACCTTTGTGCTTTTGGTCATCTGCGTGGCCTATTGGGCGTTGACTGCTCTGTATCCTTTTTCACTTCAACTGCCCGGCGATCGGGTCTGTCTCCGGGAAGGCCGGGGAGGAGGTGGGTGCGGGGCTTGGGGTGAAATCACTCTCAGCCACTATTCCCCAAATCTTGTTCCCGGGCGGTACTGAACCGTTGGGCGAGTTTCCTTACTCCACATGATGAGGCGCAAGGATTATTATTATCTTGCCCCCCTCCCCCCCACCGTTAAGTGCTCACGGGAAGGGCGCTATATAAATGCAAGTCGTTGTTGCTGTTATCTCTCTCCTGGTATCAAGTGAAGCCTTTCCGTGCATCTCAACTGGCAACTGCTCGTCTTTTCCTCAACTCGTGTCAATTCAGCTACTTGGCCACGTCCGGGGAACCTCTGTATCGTGTCATCGCGCTGAACACCAGTGCTCCAAACTGTGACACCATTAGTGGGAATGAAAGCTGCGCTCCCACGGTATTAACCCCCGCCGCCGCGCGCACCCGCAACACGCACACACTCGCCTGCTCACAATCAGCCACTCAATGAGGTTTTCCCCCTCCGTATTTACACTCCCAATTGGGTATCAAGCCGTCTGGGAAGGCCAAGCTGTTGGTGATGGAAGGAGCGAGACAGTGGAGTCGTAGTGACTTGTGTTTTCAGTCCGTGACCGCTTCCCAGAGGTGAAATGGCCGCAGCGGCATGACTTCCTTTTTCTTGCGCGGTGTCGGCTTTCCACGCTGCTCAGTGGAAAATGCCTGACTTCCGGGTCATTGGGCACCATCCACATTGCTTCCTGCACTTGGGAGTCCTGCGGCGTAGCGGTTGGAGCGCTCGCCTCGCAAGCAAGAGGACCCGCGTTCGGTTCCCGGGCGGGGAGAGACCTTAGGAAAGTATTCCGTGAAGCGCTTTGAGACGCCTCAGTGACGTGGAAAGGTGCTGTAGGAAATCCAAGGATTATTGTTACGGCACGCGCTGGAAGTGATGCTGGTCAGCCATTTTGTAGGCGCCAAAGCCAACATGGCGCCCGCCTTACACCAGGGGTGGAGGGTGGACAAAGAAAAGGGCAGTAAAACAAAGCCTCCCTCGTCTGCACAGGCCTTCAATGCTTCGGACTACGACTGCCAGACTACCAGCTGTATATTCTACAAGTACAACTCCGAGGGGCTCTTCCAGAGAAACCTCTTCAATCTCCAGATCTACAACGTGGTGGGATTCTTGTGGTGCATGAACTTTGTCATCGCCCTGGGGCAGTGCTGCCTGGCCGGGGCTTTCGCCTCCTACTATTGGGCCTTCAAAAAACCCCAAGACATCCCTTATTTCCCCGTCACCTCCTCCTTCTTCCGGGCGCTGAGGTGAGTGTTTCTAATACCCTGCTCCCTCTTTCCCTGAAAGTAGGGTCCGAGGTAAGCAGCGAGCGCTCTGGGACGCTACCCCCGTGAAGGTCGCTATATTAGCGCAAGTGGTTGTCACCCTTCCAGAGAGAGAGAGAGAGAGAGAGTGCACGTTCCATTCCAGAAACGGGGGAGATCACAGGGCCTACGCACGTGGGATCCTCGGCCTAAAATGGCCACCGTGTCATCACACGCTGCTCCCGTGCTTTTAAGAGAGAGAGAGAGAGGACCTGGGGTTGGATTCCCGAGGGGGGTGTGGGGAAACCTTAGCCAAGTTTCCTTACTCCATACCCCTATTTACCGAACAGTAAGTAGGAACCCGGGTGTTAGTCAATTGATGGATCACTTCCCGGGGGTAATAATCCCTCCCCCCACCCCCCCCCCCCAAAAAAAAATGGGTTTACTCAATCCACGACTGTTCGTGGGACATTGCAGTGCTCAATTGGCTGCCGCGTTTCGCCCAAAATGCCACCAATTCCACTTTACGGCATAGTCCGCGAAGCGCTTGGGGAAGACTCAACGACGCGATAAGATACGCCACACCAAATGCAAGGATTATTATTATTATATTATTGTTTGCAGGTATCACACCGGCTCCTTGGCTTTTGGTGCTCTGATCCTGACCATTATTCAGATTATTAGAATTGTCCTGGAATATTTGGACCACAAGCTGAAAAGTAAGAGGCTTCAATCCATTTGGAGAGAAATTGAGGGGTGTGGGTGGTGGTGGGTGGGGGGGGTGGGGGCGCCGCGGAGGGCGGTGAGAGGAGTTTCTCTGTAGCAGCTGATAAATGCATTGTGATAAATGATGTGATCAACTCACAGAGGGCAACGGGTGGTGGGTTGGGGAGTAAAGAAGAAGGTCGGGGGGGGGGGGTGGGGGGTGCAGGGCCCGAAGGGATTTGTCGATCCGTTCGGTGATCGGGAGATGGCGGAGCGGGCGAATTGGGTGGGGGGGGGGT